GGGAACTTAAGGTCTGTTCATAGCATTGTGGGAAATTCAAATACGAGTCCCAAACTCACCCAAATCGGAACAGCTTTAATAATTTCCCCGATAAGCTTGTTGATGGTATTCGCATCTCCCGTGCATAACAGTAATTCGTTATCAATATTCTCTATTTTACTACAACAGAATCGCTTAGGCCGCCGCCCATGAACGAAACTCATGTCCCCAGGCGACTCACGGATGAGACAACAGCTAATTTGGCAACAGATTGTAAGTATGATACTTCATTTGGGAAGACCTTCATTTTGTATTAAAAAGCACGAAAAAGAGATTCGTAGGTCGATCTCACCAGAAGACGACGGCCGAATCCCGTTGTACTGCAGCTGTATAGACGACATTCAGATTGACCAGAGCTTGACATTACTGTTTTTTATCATTCTGATTTGGGACCGGTACTGCAGACGTTAGCACAAACACACGGGCAAAAGTAGCAGGGCCAAAACGAAAGATAATTAGCTAAACCATTATATATCTATCTTGACCTTTTAATTTTCTTTTGCTTAACTGAGTCCATGTGAAGTAATATAGAGCCGGATAGTCTTCTTGACGTAATTCTGTTAACGTGAGACTTCTACAAGAATGACTTCCAGCTCTGATGACGTCCATCATATGATGGACGAAAATTCTGCGAGAAAGGAAGTCTCAAGAACTTTGTCAACTTCAATTAAAGCCAAATGGCTGAAGCACAACGGGATTCAGTCGTCGTCTCCTGATCAGATCAACCTAGGAATCTCTTATTTAAGCATTTAAATACGAAATGAAGGTTTCCCCAACAATGAATTCTAAGGAGATTAATCGAAACCCAGTTGCTATACGTATCTAAGATATTTTTGCTTGGACTTCATGATCAGGAGATTAGGAATCTGGGCTAACCAGAACAGCAATAAGTGAATCCGAACAACAAAACCAGCATTTCATTCACCATATTACTAATCATTATCCTCACAACAAAGTGATGTATATAGAAGTGGGAGTCTGCGACCATACCAGAGGCCACAACATCTGGATCTTCATATCTTCAAAGCGATGTTTAGCCTGTTGTACATTCGTGATTACACAATCAGGAAGTAGACTCAAGACTTACGTCATGTCTTGGTAACTCTGCCTTGGCTAACCAAATAAGATCTTAACAGTTATTGCTCTGCAAAACAAAGACAGAAAAAACGTCATCTCTAATTGTGGCCAATAACGATACATGAGACAGTATTTATAATCGAGGAAAGGATAAAGCTCGGATCATAGGAAAAATTGACTAGGCCCCAGTACAGACGCATTATCGGTCACTCTTCCATCAAGAGTTATTGTGAACATAATTTAGGAATACACACTTAGCCAGTGTTCCAAAAGAATGTTTCACTGATGAACGAAAACATTTGTATAGTCCGGTACTCAATTTGAGCTACTTTCGCTAAAGATTGAGACTAGGCGTTGTTCCAAGTTGAAATTAAATACGACTAGTCAATCGACTGATAAAAGTTAAGTGAAGATTTATCACTGCACATAGAAATAGGGATTCCAGCTAGTCTGGATACCAGCATTAAGGCCAATATGTGTTGGTGACTCAATAGGTTATCCTTCAAAGAGAATGATTAATTGGAAGCGAGATAAAAGGTAACTATCGAAGACAACTTACCAAAATGTAATGCATTTATACCTAGGATTACCGATGTAAGTAAAAAGTTCGAATATGACTGAAATGAACGCGCTTCACATAAATAAAAGTACACTTAGATAAAAGGACAATAGCTAACTACTGGAAGACAGAGTAGATGAATGAAATTGACGCGATGCAATGATACGAGTATTTTCATTCATATTTTAAAAAAGTTTAGAGCTTATGAATAAACTAAATCAACACAGGGCTACCAAAACAGGCATGTAAGCTTCTTAATCTAGCTTTTATAAAGTCCCGATAGTCTATTTGGAATACTTCAAAATAGTTAAGTTGATGACCTTATATTCAGTGAGAAGGCATGAGCTAAGAAACCGAGATTGAACAAACAAAAACAAAAGAGTGATGGAAAATGAGACGGTCCGGGTTCATTCGAAAAAGATTCCTTATTCGGGAGGTTAGTGTAGACATAAAATTAAATTTATGAATGGGTTTGAGGGAGAACAACGAATGGTTGGCCTTAAACAGGCTTGTAATCGAGTTTTGTTTCAAGTTTCTTGGCATCTGCAATTTTGCGCACAGCCTTCATAAAGTCTTCATCCACGACATAGTCCCTCTCAACACGAATGGCGCACATGCCTAGTTCGTAGGAAAAGGTAATAATAATAAATATATTAACAGAACAATATAAGAAGCTAGTTATTTGAACAAAAAAAGAAAATAATTTTTCATTATTTCAATTTGAAAATATTTTCCTCTAATCTGAGGATCTGCAATGAAGGGACAAGTTGAGTCCGTTGGAAATTAATCTGAACGCTATGCCTATAGGATAGTCGCACGCCTTACGCCAATTTCCTTAATACTTGGTAATACTATGTTGAAAAAACTCACATACAGATTATGCTTCATTATGATGAAGCTAGATTAAAGCTTTTTTAAGTAATTATTTTGCTGATAAGAACACTTAATTATATATTCCTGATGTTGTGTGCATAATTATGTTTTGCTATGAAGATGTCTTTCGTGCAACGAAGGCAAAACTTCTTTGTATGATGATAAAGAAAGTGTAGGCAATAGTTTTACAGGGTCAAGGTAAAAGAGAATCCACCACGTAATCTTAAGCCTTGGGTCCGTGGCCCAGCCAATCAATGAGTCGTCATCGAGTAAAGTGTCAACTTTTAAACTAACTGGTGTATCTGCTGACATCCTAATGAGAACTAGTAAAGATAAAGGGCTGAAAAATGCCCCTTTAGGTGTATTCAAAATAAATATGATAAGTTTAGGTCAGTCTAAAGATAAGAATACATAAAATGCATACGGCTACACACATTGTATTTATTACTTCGTTTTGTAAGTAGATATCTTTAACTATACGCTTAACTTGTAGGAGTAATGCTTAGTGATGTTAACGCATATATGTGCGTAATACCAAGAAATAAAAGATCTTGAAGCGAGTCGATCCTAGAGGCAAAGGTATGCGCACGAGAAAAAGGTAAATTCTTAATGAAACCCACAAACCCCTCTCAACCAAGCATTGTTAGGTATGCCAAATAAACTCGCAGTGAATGCTAATTCGATTTTGACTGTCGTTTTGCAATTATGATCACAGTAGAGGCCATCTCCAGATGGATAGCCAAAATAGAATGCAGTTTAAAGTATATATGAGTTGGAGCAATGTTTCCAAATTAGTATCAGAAGGCAAATGACACAAGGGTTGTCTATGTCAAGCCTACCTGCTTCTGTGCAGATGTTGCGCAAGTCGGCCCCATTGAATCCATCGGACAGTTTGACAACAGCTTCCCAGTCTATGGTAAATTAGAGAATTAAGAAAAGGAATATGCAAAATTACAAGAAATGAAAATAAAGTACAAGCTATGATATTATTAAAAATAGAGTAAATGAAAGAGCAAAGATGGCAAATATAGAAAAAACATATGGATCGATAATCCTCGAAACCGAGCTAGACAATTTAAATGCACAGAAAGAGAGCTACAGGAGCTAAATAGACATTTTGACCATTATTATTTAAAGAAGTTTGATTTTGCATTGAAATTAATCGAGCCATAGGTCAAAAAATATCGTTCTTATTCAGACTAGACAAGGGTTTATGAGATATGTTCACTCTATTTTGCTTAAGATGATGAAGAACTAGTTGTCGAATTTTCCCACAATGGTATGAATAGACCTTGCGTTTCCGATGAATTTCAAATAGCCTTGCTTCCGAAAAGGTATTCTCATCTATGGTGGACAGCATTTTAGGCATCGTCTAGGTCTCATCAGTAGCCTTAGCGAGGTTCTAACCGAGACAATGCAGCGAAAAATCTCGACACGTTAGCCACTACACCGCATTGCCACGAGTGCCCCTGGGTAACAAGGCAGATGTGAATTTTAAAGAATGTTAGGTATTTTCACATATCACATTCTGTGATGGGATTGTCGATGAAGCAAAGTTATATTTGCTATAGGAATTGACTGAATTACTTATTTTTCGTTTGCAAGTAACGACGAAAAATATACATCAGTTTAAGCTTGGAATCATAATCGCATCAATAGCCGAGCTGGTTGAGAATAACGGACTTGTAGGGTTGACCCCTAGGTCCCTGTATTCAAAGTGAATTAGATGAGGAGACTTCAAGGTTAATAATTCATATCCCTGATAGAACCGACTAATTCAGTATTAACAGTATAAGTCGACAAGAATGAACGATGGCAAAACAGTTAAGTTTAAGATATCTAAATAAGTCAGAGTCCTCCTGGAAGGAACACTTAACTTTTC